ATCCACGTGGTGCATCTATTTTGTTATCTCTTGCTAAGGAACCATCCACCCCAGAATTTAGTGGCCTCATTGTTTACAACAGTGCATTACTTCTCACAATTCTGCAACTTCGACTAGGCTTAGCTGGGCAGATCTTCTGTTCCTCATGGCATATGTTTGGACTGAAATACCAGATTTGACCTGTTCACTCACATGCCTGGCTTCTCAGCTGGAGTGGGCGAGCACCTCTCCCCAAGGCTAGCTTGGGTTTCCTCCCAGCATGGTGGCCTCAGGGTAATCAGACCAGACTTTTTACATTGTGTCACAGTTCTGGTTTCTAGCTTCCTTTAGAGGCCTAAACTGACACAGTATCTTTTCTGCCATTTGCAATTGGCCAAAGCAAGTTCTAGGTCACGCCAGGTGTGAAGTCAGGGGAGGTAGCCTCCAACTCCGAGTGAGGGGAACAGCATACTGGCGCAGGAAGGGAAGGAATTGATGGAGGCCATCTTTGGAGATTTTCTACTGTAGTCTCCCTGGTGATACACCTTGATTTATTGGTCTTCTCTTTTTATTCTTAATGGCATTATAGGATATAGGAACACGGGGGTAGGCCAGCCTTAGTCCCATGGCCTTAAGCTGTCAAATCTTTTACCAGCAACTCCAGGGTGCTTTGGAAAGGCATTCGTGTCTCTGCCCTAGGCTGCGGGATTGCACGTGTTCCTCGGATGCTTCTGTGGCTGCTTTAGGAAGTACAATAATAGCTAACATCACTTGAGCACTTGCCATGAGCCAGAGCCTGCGCTTGTTCCTTTTTCATGTATCCTGTTATTCAATTAACATAATCTTTCCAGGCCTGTGCATATAATTTCAGTGGTAGTTTCTGGGTTGATTCAGGTGCTAAAAATCCAGCATGACAACACTGGTACCAAAGATTCGAAAATGCTACCCATACTCAAGTTGCCAGCCCCTCACTTCATAGAGCACTTACTCCCATGGGACACTTAGGATGCACTCTCTTTTCCTTCTTCTCTTTCAGAATCTCTTTTGTCAGTTTGGTATTCCATTAATTATTTATTTGTCCCACGCTGGTCCCTTCTACCCCCAGGTCCAATGTCTTCCTTGCAACCAGTGCAAATGAGGGGCCCTGGGGGAAGGTCAGGGAACGGAAAGTAGAGCTGAGTTGGTTCTGAGTGGAAAGAAATGCTCTGTGGCCACACACAGACCACACCTTCCAGGCCACACACACACACACACACACACACACACACACACACACAGAGCCTTCCCACACCTTTCCAGGGCAAAAAAACCAGGTCGAGGGAGAGCATAATGTAATACCTGGTTCTCTACTGTGCCTACATTGCACGTTCAGTAAACTAGGATAATGACAGTAAGTAGGATAATGACTATTATAATATTTTACACAGGTAAATCAGCAAACTTGGAACTAGTACACACCCTGAGAAATCCTACCAAGGTATCACATAGTGTGTTTTTATATTGCATTTGTGTATTTTTCACAGCTTTATTGATATATAATTTGCATAACATGAAGTTCACCCATTTAAATTTTAGCATATTTACAGAGTTCTAAGCCATTACCTTAAATCTAATTTTAGAGCATTTTCATCATCCCCAAAAGAAACTGTTTCCATAGTAGTCATTCTCCTCACCACCCCACTCCCCAGCCTTGGGCCACTACTCTACCTTTTTTCTCTGTGGATTTGTCTACTCTGGATATTTCATGTAAATGGAATTACAGAATGTGGCCTTTGGTGACTGGCTTCTTTCACTCAGCATAATGTTTTTTGACGTTCATTTGTGCTAGAGCATGGATCAATACTTCATTCCTTTTAATGGCTGAGTAATCCTCCATTGTATGGATGGACCACATTTTGTGTATGCATTCATCGGTTAATGGACATTGGGTTGTTTTTGATTTTTTGCTATTATGAATTTGAACATTCGTATACAAGTTTTCATGGACATAGGTTTCAGTTCTCTTGGGTAGGTATCTTGGAGTGGAATTCCTGGGCCACATGGTCACTTTGTTTGACCTTTTGAGGGACTACCCAATTGTTTTTCAAAGTGGCCGCACTATTTTTCATTCCCATCAGCAGTGTGTGAGGGTTCTAATTTTTTCACATCCTTGCCAATGGTTGTAATGATGCACATAGCAATTTTAACCTGTCTTTCACTTAAGGATTTACCCAAATGTAGCTAAATTCTGGTGCTCAACCATGTGTGTGTGATGGGTCTAAATAGAGTTCAGGCATTCATTCAACAAACATTTACTCAGCATCTGTTATGTACCAGGATCATGGCCATTCAAGATGATTTTGGTCTCGTGGAGATGGACAAGCACACCGATGATGAGAGTCCTGCCCACCTGCCAGGTTCATGGCAGAAGAGGCTTTGGAAGCATAAAGGAGGAGCATTCATTCTGCAGTACACAGGACAGGATTCTGGGAGGGGGGGATGCTCATGTCTTAAAGTCTTAAGAAGACTTTTTTTTTTTTAAGATTTTATTCATTTATTTGACAGAGAGAGTGAGAGAACACAAGCAGGGGGAACAGTAGAGGGAGAGGGAGAAGCAGGCTCCCCGCTGAGTAGGGAGCCCAACGTGGGGCTCTATCCCCGGACCCTGCGATCATGACCTGAGCCGAAGGCAGATGCTT